AGGAGGGAGGAGAAAGAAGAAGAAGAAGAAGAAGAAAAAAAAAAGAAAAAAAAAGGGGTCCGAACCCAGAAGAAGGAGGAAGAAGAAGAAAGAGGAGGAGGAGAAGGAGGAAGAAGAAGAAGAAGAAGAAGAAGAAAAAAAAAAAAAAAGGGACCGAACCCAGAAAAAGGAGGAAGAAGAAGAAGAGAAGAAGAAAGAGGAGGAGGAGGGAGAAGAAGAAGAAGAAGAAGAAGAAAAAAAAAAAAGTCCGAACCCAGAAGAAGAAGAAGAAGAAAGAGAAGAAGAAGAAGAAAGAGAAAGAGAAGAAGAAGAAAGAGAAAAAAAAAAACAAAAGAAAAGGACCAAACCCAGAAGAAGAAGGAGGAAGAAGAAGAAGAGAAGAAGAAAGAGGAGGAGGAGGGAGGAGAAGAAGAAGAGAAAAAAAAAAAAAAAGGTTCGAACCCAGAAGAAGAAGAAAGAGAAAGAGAAGAAGAAGAAGAAGAAAAAGAAGAAAGAGAAAGAGAAGAAGAAGAAAGAGAAAAAAAAAAAAAAGAAGAAAGGGACCGAACTCGGAAGAAGGAGGAAGAAGAAGAAGAGAAGAAGAAAGAAGAGGAGGAGGGGAGAAGAAGAAGAAGAAGAAGAAAAAAAAAAGGTCCGAACCTAGAAGAAGAAGAAAGAGAAAAAAAAATGGCAGATATGTTTTTTTTTTTTTAAATTATTTTATTTACCACGTGGCAGACATTTGGCAGCCACGTGTCATATATGTGGCAGCCACGTCAGCATTTAACAGATCCATTGATGGAAAATCTAACGGTTGTATGAAATTGAAATAAAATAGTACTTGAGGTATGAAAGTGAAATGTTTTAAAGATGTTGTATGAGATTGCAATAGAGCTCAAACCTGAGGGGCTACTATGTAATTTACCCTTTTTTATTTTATACAAACGGTAATATTATACTAAGGGAGTAGAGAGTTGCTAAGCATCACAATATGCTAGCAATAATGTGGTTCAAATTCATCTTTGACAATAATTAAACATAAAACCTTTGACAATAATTGAACATTAAATAGTGGCAAGTGACAATGGGGCCACTTTGAGAACAGTGTGGGATGCCAAGATTACTCGGAATACGTGCACTGCTTGAATTGATAGGATTTCAATATTAACAAAAAAGTTCGTCACGATTCTAATTTTTTTAGCTTCTTCTGTAGAATGATGTAATATTCAGCCAAGGACTAACTTCATACATTAATTTCAGCAACTCTTGAAATGACTGACTTCATTTTTCTGAAAAGACAAAACAAAAAGACTAGCTCGCTTATCTTTAAAGATTCATCCTTGATTTTTTTTTTTAAATCAATTTCATCTAAATTAAAAAAATATATATGGGGATGACAAGAGGATTATAATTCACAATTTAGAGCAAGTCTATTAGGAGAAATTTTTTAAATGTCATAATACAAATGATTGAATTTTTCTTCAAGTATTCAAACACTTAGTATATTAAGCATTGTTCCTAGTACATTAGAAAATCTTTCCATCAAGAATCCAACCCTCACTCTCTAAATTTTTTTTTTCACGCTCAACCATAGAAGATGAACAGTCCATAAAAAAAAGAGGAACAGCGCTTTGATATCTCAAGGTACTTTTTTCTCTTCAAAATTTGAGCAGTCATGTTAATCTTGAAGCATTCATCGCCCATATTTTCATGGTGTTTATGCTTTGTGCCCTTGTCCATGATGTTGCCATGTTTCTAGTAACAACGATGTTTTTTGGATTCTTTTTATGTCGTTTGAATTCCAGGTACTTTTTTTCTCTTCAAATTTTGAGCAGTCATGTTCTCTTTAAGCATTCTTCTCCCATATTTTCATGGTGTTTATGCTTTGTGCCCTTGTCCATGATATTGCCATGTTTCTAGTAACAACGATGTTTTTTGAATTCTTTTTATGTCGTTTGAATTTCATGGTGTAGGTGGCTTAACATGAGAGAGGGTGGGGTGTGGGTTTCGTTTGTTTATTACAACAGAAATAATTAAAATTGCACGAGTGTTGTGACCAAGTTACTAGTAAGAGAGGTGCAGCAAAGAGAGAATAGTGAGAATATGACTTCGGAAAATAGTAGGATCTTTATGTCGGTACCTTTATATATAGTAAACCACGCGAAGAGAAAGAAATTTTCTCTCTAAATAATACAAATCTTAATATAAAAGAATTACTATTTTTTTAATAAATGATATTATCTATACTAAAAGGGAGGGGTGGACTTAGCCTCATAATGTGCTAGCAATAATGAGGTTCAAATTCTTCTCACTCACAAGTGAAGAGGAATACCACTAGACCGTAGCACTAAGTGGCAAAATAATTACTAAATTAAAGACGAATCCTAGACTAAATCTACAAATATTTACACAATCACACAACAATAAATATTAATTAAAACATGGAGCGTTTTGACGTAGACGTCTCATTTTTAAATGTCATAAGTTAAACATCTATTCATTTAGAAAATTTGATTAAACATTTTCTCTACAATTTTGATACTTAATATCATTTCATTTTATTTTATTAGAAGGCTATGCACGTTATTTCTTTAGGCATTCCCTTTTTTCCTCCTATTTTTATGCATCTCTCAATACGATGATTTCAGATTTTTTTTTATTGAAGTATTTATTTTAGTAAATTAAATAGAATGTTAAAAACCTTGTTGTTAGGTACATTTGGTTATATCGGTACGTTTGATTATATCGGTACATTTGATTACTTATAAGATAAATTCATTTGGTTTATAGTATATTTAAATTTTTGGTACATTTGGCTTTTTGGTTACATTTGAATTTTTTGTACATTTAGTTTCTTCGTACATTTGAATTTTTGGTACGTTTGTTTTCATTACTTTTTTTTTTTACTAATAGTGAGGAATTACTTTAATTAATTTTTTTTATAGAAAGAGTCATTAAAAATGTAGGAGTTTAAATTACTTTAATTATTTATTTTTTATAGAAAGAGTCATTAAAACGAAGGAGTGTAAAGGACTGGGGAAATTAATTTCCTACAATGTAGGCAAATAGTTACAAGGTGAAGTGAATATGCTTTTAAATTAATTAAATGTAATTTTCAAATAGAGAAATGTTGATGTGGCAATTAGTCAAAGCCTCTTAATCAAATCTTAAAAATGAACCAATGTTTAATTTAAAAAGCATTGAAAATATGTAAGGGATTCTAATTTCTCCTTGAGCATCCTTTTTCCTTTTTCCTTTTTTTCTTTTTTTGTGGGCGACTAGGGCACACTTGGAGGTGCCAACTTGTTTAATTGGCTAACAAAGTGTTGGTGATATTGAGCAAGGGGCACCATAAGAAACTGTGCCTAGAAGATGGGTGACTGATGCCCAGAATTCTAGTAGTGGTGGTAACGATTGAAAAATTTATAGTTTAAGTACCATGTTCACTTAATCAAGGCCTGTCTTCTTGCGAGTTCGAGTTGCCACTCCACGTAAATTAAAATGATTCTTTTGTTGGTTTCTATCAATGGATTTCCATTGGTCATCGCAATTTTTTTTTAATAGAATTATCAACAATTATATCAGTGTAGAGTTTGCATATCAGTGAGGTTGATATTGTTTTTGGTTGGAAAATGACAGTTTTAGTGTTATTTATGCTCTTCAATTATTTCATGGGTAATTTTATTTAGACCCAACAATACTCTTTCTACACCCAGCTACAAAAAACTTTTTATGTAATTCCTATATTACCCCTTATACAAAATAAAAAAAGAAACTAAAAATTAAATATCTTTCTACACCCATTCAACCGAGATAGAACCCACATACATCGCCACCACTCAACCACCACTTTAGACCTCCCTCCCTCTTCCTTCTCCTGCATATAGAAGTAGTTAGGCGGGATTGCTAAATCAACCATCGCCTTCAACAACCCGACCCAATACAAAATCCATTTGACTCCATTTTGGACTTCTGCAACAAGTCGCTTATGGAATCGACGATGCCGCTTAGTTTTGCCTATTAACAGCAAGGCCCTATCACGCGCAATAGAAGAAAAATGGAATGATTCACTAGACGTTTGGTGGAGTAGCCACTGCAAAGAATTGGTGGGTGGGGGAGAGGTGGGGGAACACACCGAGAATATCAAGGAAAAAAAACAGTCGAGAGGGAGACAAACCCAACAAATACAGGAAGGAGACGCCAGAATGCAAAGAACAGTCGGGAAATGGGTTTGATGAGTTTTTCTTTTTCCAGTTTATTTATGTTTATAATTTATGAGGGTAAACTAGGGAGTTTAGGTAACAAAATATTAAAGTTGGGTTTAGAGAGAGGAAAACTGGGTCCAAATAAAATTTCTCTTATCTAATTTTGATCATTCTTGGCCTCTTCATGCGCAATAGTTTATTTGTTTGGACCGCATTCGGAAAATAACTTTATATGCATCTCACATATATCGTGAAGGAAATTTTATTACGGATAATTTTGCTAACATGGGCTTGTCTTCTCCAATTTTGACATGGCACGATTCTCGGCTTGCCTAGATACCGCTTCTCAAATTAATGTGTATCACGGCATCCAGGTTTGTCTCACTTTCTTGTTTTTTTCCTAACTTTGTGGTGTTTTTCGACCTGTTTTGCAAGTTTAGACCTTTAGGTTTGGTTTTAGAGGGGTTAGGTTTCATGCCCCCTTCTTTGTATCATTTTTGTTTTTATTTCTAGAGGGATAAGGTTATTGTCCTCCATTCTTTTTCGTGTATTCTTTTTTATTGTCTTTGTTTTATTAGAAATAAAATTGTTGCCCATGGATTAGATGTAACTTTTTTTTCGTTATCAATAAAATTTGTCTCGTACTGTCGAAATTTTCTACAAAAAAAAATTTAACCATATTTTGCTTGATGCAAAGTTCCATTTTGTTTGTCTTGACGTAGCTTAATTTTTTACCTTTTAGTCTTAGTGTTATGCCCTTAACAAAATCATATGAAATAGAGGGGATAAGTGAACTTTTGTAATTGGACCAACATGTCAAAACAACACCAAAAACAAGCAGAGAGTCCATTTCCAGTACATCATTTCCATCACATTCACATCTACACTTTCAGGATTCCACCCCCACCAGAACACAACTTTCTCCACTTTTTGGAACAATGTTTTGAATCAAAGAACGAAATTTTGGAAACATGTAAACCTAAGCATTCAATTCTGTTACAACCTAGAATTCAATTGAATGAATTTCGCTACACAGTGAACCGTATGTTTTTTTCGTACGTAATTCGATTTTTTTTCTTCGTTTAAGGCTAATATATATTAGTGTGTTGCAAATAAAGCAGGATGTCAATTTCACTCCCTTGATGATCAGTGCTAAAACAAAGAAACTGACAACATTACCATTCCCTTCCAAACACAGATGTTCCACTCTTCTTGATCACATAACTCAACACCACCATTGTCATCTCCGTGTCACGAATAGACTCCATTTAATTTTCAAATAGGCCGAAGCGGACAGGAACACCCTCAACCTTGAGCCAAGCGTGCCCTTTCAAGAAAGGCCCTACAGTATACTGCATTGCCTCTTCCTTGTTAATTTTCTTGTATCCATCCCACTTCACTCTGTTGTCAGTTTTTGCGCCCGGTCCCTTGTTGTTATACTCTGCGTAATACAACGTTTTCAACGCGAAATCTCCTTCCCACGGTGTCCATCCATCCAGGTGAATCAGGTCCTCAATTGTCGACTCCATCACTATGGTTCTCGAAAATTCTTTCCATGGCCTTCCGAGGTAGGTCTTGAATTGGGACTTTACTGGCTCAAGATCTTTGTCAGGCATGATTTGGCAATTCTGCAACACTATTCCTGTGGTTTCCCGTTTGTCAGTCCTTCCCTGTGCTGTGACAGTGTTTTGTTGGTTTTCCAAAGGCTTGCGAACATAGATCAAGCAGTTCTGGAAGATGGCAGCAGCGTCGCCAAAGATGAAATCAACTGTGCCGGAAATGACACAGCTCTTATAGAACTGCCGATGAGTTTGTGCGTACAATGTCTCTTGGTACCCTTCAAACCGGCAGTTCAGAAAAATAGCGCGGTCTGCTTGGACTCTCGCTGCCACTGCCTGACGCTTTTCAGGTCCAGCCGTGTTTCTGAATCCCATCGACTTTGCCATAAAACCTTCCCCTAAGGCCGCTGCAATAGAATCAAACGGAAAGAAAAGAGTAAGTAACATTCACACTAACTTAAATGGTGAGGTAAGCCTTATACATCCTCCATGTTCTATTGTTATAAGATATATACATTATTTGTTTCCTAATTTGAGTGTGAGAGTGTGAGGTAAAAAAGTCGCGCATTGGTGAAAAGATAAACCTTACAAGGGCTTAAAAGAAGTTGGGCTACTATCTATTTTGACAATTGATTAAGATGGAACCTCAATTTTCTTCATGGTATTAGAGCAAGTTAGCCCACATGTGAAGTGGCCACATATGCTCCACATCACCCATTTGAGGCTTATAAATTCGCCACACGTAAGGGGTCGTGTGAGAGTGTGAGGTAAAAGAGTCCCACACTGGTGAAGGAAGAAACCTTGCAAAGGCTTATAAGAAGTTAGGTTACTCCCCATATCACCAATTGGTTTTATGGTGCAACCTCAAGTTTCTTCATCGAGCACATGTAGTGTAATACAAAATGAGAGTGATTTCAGCACGTCCATTTTCTCGCTCTATACACCCATGTTTATTTATGGCGCTAGGTTTTCGATTTATATATACACCCATGTTTATTTATGGCGCTAGGTTTTCGATTTATATAAGTCAAAAGAAAATGAAGAGGCAAAAATAAACAGAAGTGTATAGGAGCACGTACCGAAAGGTGCAGTTTGAAATGTCCTAACTCCATCGGCTAAGTTCTTATTTCCAGTGATGATGCTCTTCTGTGAACCATCGCCGTACATTGTAACGTTCGGCATCTTCTTTGTCACAGTCACAGTCTCATCATAGACTCCTTCTTTAACATAGATGACATACCTGAATTTTCATAAGGGTTAAAAAAAAACTGATAAATAAAGATAACATGATTATGAAAATCATCGCCTTTTGAACACAGCACACACCGTCCTTCGTATTTTTGGGGCATTTTTTCCAAGGCTTCACTAATGGTTTTGTAGTTTCCACTGCCATCTTTTGCCACTGTCACGTTGGGGGTGAGTTTCTTGTCGTTTTTCTTCAACATCCTTCGGTCCTCATGACTCATCCAGTTAGGGAATCCGCTCTTGTCCTGCGATAGAAGGCGGCGATTTGATCCTGCAGCTGCTCCTGTACTCGGTAGTTGCAACTGGTTAAGGAGTGAAAGCATGGCCAGGGAATTGCTCGTGAATTCCTTAGAGGTCTGCAACATCTTCTCCAAGTCGGACTTCAATTTTCCATCAGGAAACCCGTCGACGCATGTCTGCTGGTAAGATATCACCGCACTTAGCCAGCTGTTCAAGACGCCGATGCGCACTTTCCCTGACTCAGTGTTGTTGCCAACCTGAGAAATGGCGTCCCCCAATTCCTCCATGGCGTCCTCGAACAGCCCTTTGCAATCCTCGAACGCTCCCTTCTCTTCCGGGCTGCTGAAAGTGAGCTCAGCGGTTTTGCTGTAGACACTCTTGGCCTCGTCCGAGGTGGCTGAGATTGCGGTCTTGATGAATGCCATGGGTTTCGTTTCGCCATTTGCCTTTTCAATGATGCCCTCGCACTTGTCCTTGTAATCTGTCGCACTGCACATCTCCTTCAGGATCTTCTTACTATTTGAAGGGGCTTTGTTCTTCGGTGGTGTATTTTTCTGTTTTGGAGCCGCCGGTGCAGGTTTCCCTGCTTTGCCTTGCGTAGTATTGCCCTGCTTAGCATTTCCCTTCTTGTTGCTAAGTTTGTTGACAATGAAATAGGCTCCGACGGCAATCAGAACAAGGAGGAGAATAACGACAACCGCTATGATAATTCTCTTCTTGACCTTACGTGCCTTCTCGGCCTTTCGGCGTTCAGAAATCTGGTCGAAATCCTGAAATGCCATTACGAGAGGTGGCTTTAAGGCAGAGGGATCTCTGCCTTAATAATCTTGGGCCAAGGCACAGGGCGAGACACCTAGTCGAGCAAGAGACAGGAAAGAGATTGAAACACAATGGCGTTTCGGCTTTAATTGCTTTCACTTTCGCGTCCTCTTCCTATCTCGTTGTTCTTCAGTTTCAGAATTTCGAATCTCCATTGTTATTTTGGCATTTGACAGAGGAGGTCTGGTCAGGAGAGTTTTCAGGTATTCTATTTTTCAAAAGTTAGTTGGAGAAGACAAGAAGGGGTCTTTTCCTTTCCAACCGCATTTCCCCCGCGAATCCTTTCTGAAATTACCGTTATACCCCTTACTGTCAAACTACATAAGAGCATATAGTGTTCAAATTTGTCAATGAATTCATGATTGTGTGTATTCTTTTGTGAGGTTATGATTGAAGTCATAACAAATTCATGACTCCAATTAGTGGACTAAGCCAGTCAAGCATTAAATATATGGGTTAGGATTCGATGACATGAGCTTTTGATACACATTTTGACACTTATTTTTGTAGGGTTCACTCCATAATGTACTTTAACAATTCGACCATCTATATTTTAGTACATCATTCATAGATCATCCTTGCAAACAATTAGACAAATCAATAAGCATTAAGACATTCATTTATAGTGAAGAAAATTGATGAATACGGTTCTACAAAAAAAACATTAAATTAATCCAATGGTCATATGGTTTCAGATTTGGGTGATTTTTTGTGGACATGATCTTTAAGGTAAGACCTGAAATATAGACGGTTTGATCGTTAAAATACATTATGAAGTGGACCCACAAAAACTATGTAAAAATGTGTGTTAAAAGCGTGTGTCCTAAAATCTTAACCCTATGTATATTAATCGATTAGAAAATCACATGAAATTTTGAAAAAATAGCCTCTCTTTTGGTGTCTTCATAGAGTATAACTAGTAAATATGGATTAGGCCGGTTGATTAGTGTAGTTTGTCAATTCTCTTGCATTCAAGTTCAAATTTTTCTCTTCATAAATTGTAGTAGTATTGTAAAAGAAAAACGGAATTTTGACTAATAAAAAAGGGTTTGATCTTGTGAGGGTTCAAAATGATCGAGGGGCCGTCGAGTTACTATATTTCTAGAACTTTCCAATTTCCATGGAATCATGAGGCAGTGGTCAAAATTGTTAGCGTTTTATTTGGGGTTTGAATGTTGACATGCTCGAAGTGTAGAACATCCTATCAGAAAATACCCCCTAACCCCCAAAAAAATCAGAAATATTTCACTTCATTCACACAAACTTTCACCTTTGATATACATATTTGAAAATGTACGAAAAATTATTTCAAACAAGACTATTCAAACAAAGATCAGATGCCTTCATCATAAGGAAATAAAGTGGACTGCAGCCATTCATCACCAGCAATAAACTCTTGCACACTGAAATTGGATGCATCATAATAGTCCATAACATGATGTCCTGTCCAGTTCACTCTATTATCCGTCCCAGCGCCAGGACCATAATTCTGGTACTCTCCATAGTATAAAGTGTCCAACCCTAGGTCCCCGGACTAATTAGTGCACCCAGTCGGGTCAATAAAGTCGTTAATGTAGGATTTCAGGACAACAGTCGTAGAGTCATTCCTCCACGGCCGGCCTAAGTAGCTTTTGACAATGCTGGAATGAGAGTGCAACTCATCACTGGCTAGAATGTAGCAGTTCGGCATGGAGATTCCTGTGTTCTGATCTAGTGTGTCCCTGGACTGCGCCGTGACGACTGTGATTTGTCCTGGCATTGGTATCTTGGACACAATGTTGCATGCTTGAAATACAACTGCGGCGGTACCACATATGTAGCCTATGGTTCCGAATATATCGCACTCTCTATAGAATTGTCTGAAAGAGTGCACGTATAATGTGTCTTGGTAGCCATCGATGGCGCATTTGTAATGTGCAGCCAGGTCTGCATTAATTCTCAGAGCAACTGCTTGGTGCTTTTCTGGCCCTGCCGTGTCCTTAATTGTTATGTCTCTTGCTAGAAAGCCCTCTCCGGACACAGCTGAAAAAATTGAGTGTTCGGTTAAAACAAACTGGGAATGAAAGGGGTACCAAATGTAAACATGATTTTTCAAAATCTGCACTAATCATTGAAGACAATTGAGGTCTACCATAAAATCAATTGACAATATGGAGAGTAGCCCAACTTATAAGCCCATGCAAAGTCCCTAGCTTCTCCCATCAATGTGGGCTACATTCTCAAGAATCTCAACACGCCCCCTCACATGTGACAAATTTTCAATCCTAAACACTTAAACAACACAAGACGGGGGTGTGGAGCACGTGTGACGTAAGACAAACTGCTCTGATACTATGATAAAATTCAAAGAAGCTCAAAGAAGTAAACTTGAGAGGGAGAAACTGATTTTTATATTTCTTCACTACTAAGAAGTACAACTGTAGAGCAGAGTATTTATACTCAGGGACATGTACATCTAGTTGCACTAATCTCATTAGCTAGAATAATGACACATGGCACTAATGACAACTATACACAAGTTAATAAAACAGTACAACATTCCTAGCACCACACTCTCCATTCTATCAATTATCCCCTATGGTTAAGCATGTTATCGATCTCAGTCTAAATTAGATTTTTATCATAATCTTGTCCAACTTTTGTCATGTGTAGCAGGGGTGAAAAAACCATTTAAAACATTGAAGCTTGTTCAATCTTTAAATCAGGCTTAAAATGACTTTTACATGAAAATTAATCACACACGAACAAACTTAATTACCTACGGTTGCAGATCTGAATGGAGTCCATCCATCATAATAACTGCGTTTACCAGTGATGAAAGTGATGTCACTTCCATCTCCAAAAAGAACAAGGTTGGTCTTGTAGCTCGGAATCTCCACATTTTCTGCATAAACCCCTTCTTTGACATGTATAATCGTCCTATCGTAACTATTATTTTATTGAAGTATTAGTCTTTAACCCTAGTATCAGTCTTTAACCCTAATACAGGATATTAAGCACTGGATTAAGATTGCTGCCCTACTGTCTTTGATTAGCTGGTTGCTTCTCTGTTAAGCATCCTATCTTACAGCCACCTTAATCTCTGACGTAATCCATAAGTCATGGTGCACACTCCCAAGAAAGGACGTTAGGGTTTTATCCGTTAGGTTGTTATTAGGGTTAGGGTTTTAGGCTGTGCTGTTGTTCTCTTTAAAAGCTATTTTGTCCTTGTAATAAAACCATGAATGAAATACAAATTGAGTTTAACTCAAAATCAGTTTCCCATCTTTTCTACATGGTATCAAAGCAGTGATCCCTCTAGGACCTGCCTCTGTGTTCATTCTGAAATCCTTCCAAATCCAAACCAGTTAAGCCATTATGGCAACACCAGCAGAAAAAGAAAAAATTTCACAAAACGAAACCATGGATACCAATCCAATTCAACGTTTGAGCTCTGTGCTCCTAAACAAATTCAACCATCTGCCCTGGTCACGAGCTATTACTCTCGCTCTTGGAGGACGTGGAAAGCTCCCTTTCATTCAAAGGGATGACATCATGCCCGAAACAACTTCACCAGATTATGCAGCATGGGTGTCCTAAGATCAACTTATCATGTCTTGGCTGTTAAACTCTATGGAACCAAAGATGGCTGAGATTTTCAATTATTCAGTGTCATTTCACCAGCTTTGGAATTTTGTACAAGACATGTATGGGGAACTAAACAATGCTGCACGAGTCTTCCAGCTGAAGAAAGATCTTACGGTATTACAACAGGGAAATCTCTTTTTTGTTCAACATCTTGGCAACTTGAAGAACAAATGGAATGAATTGGATCTCTACAGACCTCATACCACGAACACAACCATTCTTTTAAAGCGTGCTAAAGAAGACAAGGTGTTCCAATTGCTTGCCAGCCTTGGACCAGAGTATGAAGATCTTAAAAGTCGCCTCTTGATGACACCTGAGCTTCCCACCTTCCAGATGGTCTACAATGTTATTCAACGCGAAGAAATAAGAAAGAAGGTCATGAACGCAGACGTGGTCGTTGGATAATCAGATCATAGGCCATCAGAAGCGAGAGCCTTCACCTCTCCAGACCATATAAGGGAAAACGACCAGACTTAAAGTGTTCTCACTGTGAGAAGATAGGTCGTCCAGGCGTTGGACACATAAAAGAAAAGTGTTGGATTCTTCATCCAGTACTTAAACCCAAGTTCAACGATGATGGAAGAGCACCAAGAAACCAAATGAAGCATGCCTACATTCCTAGAGCAAATCTTGTTTGCGACAATCTCCAATAATGTGATAAACTCTTCCTCTAATCCCATTACTCTCATAAATGAATTTGCTAACTTCTTGCAAGAGAAACAAGGAAAAACAAATCATGAAAGTCCCTCAGCCATGCTCGGCAAGTTCGCTGGCTTCCTCGCACAATCAAGCTCAGTGTCACAAAATGGCGTGCCAGGTATTGTTGCAACTATTTCCACTGCATTGGATCTTAGTAGTAGTCGTGATTTTTAGATAGTCGACTCAGGAGCTTCTGATCACATGACTAACGATGCATCTTTACTAAATGATTTTCAAAACTTCTCCACTCCTTCTTTTGTCTCTGTAGCTACTGGCACCAAAGTTCATATAGCAGGCAGAGGGAAACTCAAAATCTTCTCGGGTAAAAAAGAATCCCTTGTCATGCATGTCCCTTCCTTTCCTTTCAAACTGTTGTCAGTAGGAAGAATAACACAATTGCTCAATTGTCTTGCAATTCTTTCCACTCACTGTGTGATTTTCTAGGATCGAGTTTCAAAGGAAACGATTGGTAAAGGGTTCTTCCTGAATGGACTGTACTATGTCAACTTCTCTTCAAGTTTTCCAAAGAGTTTCTACGTAAACTCAAACACAGTAAACAAGGAGCAGCTATGGCACATGATATTAGCTCACCCTTCTTCACATGTTATGTCTTTTCTTTTTCCTAGTTTCTGTAAAGTGATCCCAGATTGTGAAGTTTGTCACAAATCTAAGTTCACCAGGTTATCCTTTCCCCATTCTCTCTCTAGAGCTACCAAAGCATTTGAAATTATCCATTCCAATATTTGGGGACCTGCAACCTTAGAGTGTTTTGATGGTTACAGATTCTATATATCTTTCATTGATAATTTCTCTAGAACTACCTTTGTGTATTTA